CACCCCGACCTCCCCGCCAGATCATTACACCCACCCCGACCTCCCCGCCAGATCATTACACCCACCCCGACCTTCCCTGCCAGATTATACAGTCATGGCCCCGAATATTGGCAGCCCGGCATTTCTGTCAGATGATCCACCACTTGGCACAGAATATTGTTGCAATGACAAATGTTTTGGCATTCTCATCTTATTTTGTTTGTTTTGGTGACACATAAAATAAAAAGCAAAACCTGACACATTCCAAGCAAAACTCCAAAAAGGGACCGGACACAATGACTGGCACCTCCTCCAAACTGCAAGAAATAATTCCATTCCAAGTGTGTGATGTTCCCGTCATTTGTAAATAAAACTCCCCGGTATCAATGACCAGGCGCTGACAACATGGAAATCACCACGGCAACCAGTAAAAAATGGACTCCACCTTTCTGGTGTGCCGCCCGGAGGAGAGGAAGAGCAGCAAAGACTCGTCTGAGGATTGTGGAGAAGCGCGGACAGACTCGCGGTGACAAGTCCATCTCCAGAGATCTTCATGTTCCTGCGTCCTCTGTGCCCAACGTTGTCAGGAAGTGTCCAGCCCCCCGGCACCGGAGCCGATCCCCCCCGGACGCGGAGGAAAGAGAACCATTCATCAAAGATTGTAATGAAGGATAAAGACCCTCCATCACCTTCCAGACACATCCAAGCCGACCTTCAGGCACCGGGTACAACTGTGTCAGCTCGCACTATACATCTCCATCTGAATGACAGGAGACCCAGGAGGACCCCACTGCTGACACGCAAACATCAAAAAGCCAAAACTTACCCGAGGAAGCCAAAATCCTTTTGGGAGAATGTGCTGGGGACAGACGAAACAAAACAACAGCTTTGTGGTGCAGCCCATCATTCAAAATCCAGTCCCTCCAGTCACACATGGTGGTGGTGATGGTGGTGGTGGTGGGGGGGGGGGTGGAACTGATGTTTTGGGGTCGCCTTGCTGCTTCAGGCGCTGGATGTCTTGGCTGCGTGCATGACATTATGAAATCTGAAGACTACCAAAGAATTCTGGGGTGTATGCAGGGCCCGGGGGTCAGAAAGTTGGGTCTCCGTCAGAGGTCACGGGTGTTGCAGCAGGACAATGACCCAAAGCACCCAGAAATGGTTTCATACAAAGCGCTGGAGAGAGTACTGGACTGGCCAGCAATGAGTCCAGATCCGAATCCCATAGAGCTCCTGTGGAGGGAAAAGGAGACCCGGAGCAGTTGGGGAAAGAAGAGTGCTCCATAATTCCTGTAGAGAGGTGTAAGAGACTCATTGATGGTGACCGGAAGCCATTGATCCAAGGGCTGGGCTACCAAATATTATCGGAGGGTGCCAAGAATTATGTCCAGCCCAATTTTTGGAGTTTTGCGTGGAATGTGTCAGATTTGGCTTTTTGTTTCTCCACTTTTTTTGCGTCACCGATACAGACAAAAGAAATAAACAAGAGAATGCCGCAATATTTGTCATTTGTCACTGCGCCAAGTGAAGTATTATCTGACAGAAATGCAGGAGAGGGGGTGGGGGGCAATATTCTGAGCCAGGACTATATACACCCTGACCCCACACTGACTGATATTACATCTTTTTTTTGGTGATATAGAAGGACCAGCACCGTCTACGTGGCACCCACGGGTATCGGTAGACGGACCCGGTCACTCCTCCTGATATAGAGAAGACCCCTCCCCCTCTCATACACTGTACGGTTGTCTCCATTAACCGCAAAGCATCTCCGCTTACCTACCACTTCCGCCTCCTCCGGTCCCGTTATTTGCCGACCCCGCCCTGCACTGCCGCACTTCCGGTCTGCATGACACGTTTCCTGATTGCGGCCCCGCCCTCTACGCGGCCATATTGAGAGGGGTAGAGCGTTATTGCCAATAAGCGGGCGTGGCTTGCTTGATAATTATTTATGGGAGGGGTATAGCTCACACAAACAGCTCAGGATTTGCATGGGGCGGAGCTCGTAGGATAAAGATTTTAGGAGCCGCGGGGTGCTAATGAGTAAATAGTACAGGCTGAAGAATGTCTGTGGGAGTGGCAGAAGGCTCAGGACTCGTTTGGGGGCGGAGTTATGTGGACAATGTCTGTGGTAGGGGCAGATCGCTGAAGACAGGTTAGGGGGCGGAGTTATGTGGTCAATGTTTGTGGGGATGTCAGATAGCTCAGTACTGGTTAGGGGGCGGAGTTATCTGGACAATGCTTGTGGGAGGGGCAGATCGCTCAGGATTCGTTTGTGGGCGGTGTTATCTGGACAATCTCTGTGAAAGGGTCAGATCGCACAGGACTGGTTAGGGGGCGGAGTTATCTGGACAATGTCTGTGGGAGGGGCAGATCGCTCAGGACTGGTTTGTGGGCGGAGTTATCTGGACAATGTCTGTGTGAGGGGCAGATCGCTCAGGACTGGTATGTGGGCGGAGTTACCTGGACAATGTCTGTGGGAGGGGCGAATCGCTCAGGACCAGTTTGGGGCCACGAAATGAACCCAGAGAAACGATTTACAGGTGCACATGTCTAATGGCTATCCTATAAACCTTTCTATGCCACTCACCCCTCCCCATCTTCTAATTGTCCTTCCCATAAGCAGCCACAACCTTCAGCCCCGCCCCCAAGCTTCCACCCTGACATATTGCTCTGCAGTACGGAAACAAACCACAAGACCACTTGGTTTTATAAAGATTTACATTCATCAATAAATATATTTCTGTCACGTTTTTATTACATTTTTAAACTTTATTGTTTCATTGTAAATATCTTTGTACTGATTTTACACAAAAACGTCCCATTTTCACACCAAGTTCATTAAAGTGGATCTGGACCCACCAATTGAACCCTCTCCCAAAATAGTCACTTTCAAGGCGGTGCTTCTGGTAAGAACTATTAAGGTTGTCAGTGTGCTTCTATCAGCTCTCAACCAAACTCTCTACCTCTTCTGTCCACCATCAGCTCCCGTTCCATCTCCTCTGTCCACCATCAGCACCTCCTCTGTCCAGGATCAGCTCCCGCTCCACCTCCTCTCTCCTCTGTCCAGGATCAGCTCCCCCTCTACCTCCTCTCTCCAGGATCAGCTCCCGCTCTACCTCCTCTCTCCTCTCTCCAGGATCAGCTCCCGCTCCACCTCTCTCCTCTGTCCATGATCAGCTCCCGCTCTACCTCCTCTCTCCAGGATCAGCTCCCCCTCTACCACCTCTCTCCTCTCTCCAGGATCAGCTCCCGCTCTACCTCCTCTCTCCTCTGTCCAGGATCAGCTCCCGCTCCACCTCTCTCCTCTGTCCATGATCAGCTCCCCCTCTACCTCCTCTCTCCAGGATCAGCTCCCCTCTACCTCCTCTCTCCTCTGTCCACTATCAGCTCCCCCTCTACCTCCTCTGTCCATGATCATCTCCTGCTCTACCTCCTCTGTCCAGGATCAGCTCCCCCTCTACCTCCTCTCTCTCCTCTGTCCACGATTAGCTCCCGCTCTACCTCCTCTGTCCATGATCATCTCCTGCTCTACCTCCTCTCTCTCCTCTGTCCACGATTAGCTCCCCTCTACCTCCTCTCTCCTTTGTCCATGATCAGCTCCCCCTCTACCTCCTCTGTCCAAAATCAGCTCCCCTCTACCTCCTCTGTCCAGGATCAGCTCCCGCTCCACCTCCTCTCTCCTCTGTCCAGGATCAGCTCCCACTCCACCTCCTCTCTCCTCTGTCTTTGATCAGCTCCCCCTCTACCTCCTCTCTCCTCTGTCCAGGATCAGCTCACGCTCCACCTCCTCTCTCCTCTGTCCACGATCAGCTCCCCCCTACCTCATCTCTCCTCTGTAAGACCCTGTACAGCCCACCTAAGAGCCCACACAGTCCACCTAAGACCCTGCACTGTCCACCTAAGCGGCCGCATAGCCCACCTAAGAGCCTGCACAGCCCTCATAAGGCTATGAAGAGCCCACTTAAGACCCTGCACAGCCCACCTAAGAGCTCCCATAGACCACCTAAGAGCCCACACAGCCCACCTGAAAGCTTACACAGCCCGCCTGAGAACCTGTAAAGCTCACCTTAGCCCCTGCACAACCCACATAAGAGCTTACACAGCCCACTTAAGACCCTACACAGCCCACCACCTAAGAGCCCACACAGCCCCCCTAAGAGCCTGCAAAGCCCCCCTAAGAGCCTGCATAGCCCACCTGAGACCCTGCACAGCCCACCTAAGAGCCCACACAGCGCTCATAAGACCCTGCACAGCCCACCGAAGACCCTGCACAGCCCACCTAAGAGCCCACACAGCCCACCTAAGAGCCTACACAGCCACCCTAAGCGCCTGCACAGGCCCCCTAAGAGCCTATACAGCCCACCTGAGACCCTGCACAGCCCACCTAGGAGCCCACACAGCCCACCGAAGACCCTGCACAGCCCACCTAAGAGCCTGCAAAGCCAACCCAAGAGCCCCACACAGCCACCATGAGAGCCCGTACTGCCCACCTAAGACCCTGCACAGCTCACGTGAAAGCCCACACTGCATCCTGAAACTCTGCACAGCCCTCCTGGGAGCCCGCACAGTCTACCTAAGACCCTGCACAGCCCACCTAAGAGCCTGCACAGCTCTCATAAGACCCTAAAGAGCCCACCTAAGACCCTGTATATCCTCCTGAGAGCCCGCACAGCCCACCTAAAAGCCCACACAGCCCATCTGAGACCCTGCACGACCAACCTAAGACCCTGCACAGCCTCCTGAGAGCCTGCACAGCCACCTGAGACCC